CTTTTTTTTTTTTTTTTTTTTTTTTTTTTTTGGCGGTACGCGGGCCTCTCACTGCTGTGGCCTCTCCGGTTGCGGAGCACAGGCTCTGGACGCGCAGGCTCAGTGGCCATGGCTCACGGGCCCAGCCGTTCCACGGCATGTGGGAATCCTCCCGGACTAGGGCACGAACCCGTGTCCCCTGCATCAGCAGGCAGACTCTCAACCACTGTGCCACCAGGGAAGCCCCATACTCTAAGTTTTTTAAGGAACCTCCATACTATTCTCCATAGTGGCTGCACCAATTTACATTCCCACCAACAGTGTTGGAGGGTTCCCTTTTTTCCACATCCTCTCCAGCATTTATTTGTAGACTTTTAAATGATGGCCATTCTGACTGGTGAGAGATGATACCTTACTGTAATTTTGATTTGCATTTCTCTAATAATTAGTGATGTTGATCATCTGTTTATGTGCCTTTTGGCCATCTGTATGTCTTCTTTGGAGAAATGTCTATTTAGGTCATCTGCCCATTTCTTGATTGGGTTGTTTGTTTTTTTTGTTATTGAGTTGTATGAGCCATTTGTATATTTTGGAAATTAAGCCCTTGTTGGTTGTACCACTTGCAAATATTTTCTCCCAGTCCATAGGCTGCCTCTTCGTTTTGCTTATGGTTTCCTTTGCTGTGCAAAAGCTTATAAGTTTGACTAGGTCCCATTTGTTTATTTTTGCTTCTATTTTTATTGCCTCAGGAGACTGACCTAAGAAAACATTGGTACAATTTCTGTCAGAGAATGTTCTGCTATATTCTCTTCTAGGAGTTTTATGGTGTCATGTTTTATATTTAAGTCTTTAAGCCATTCTGAATTTATTTTTGTGTATGGTGTGAGGGTATGTTCTAACTTCATTGATTTACATGCAGCTGTTCAGGTTTCCCAACACCAATTGCTGAAGAGACTGTTTTTTCTCCATTGTATATTTTTGTCTCCTTTGTCGAAGATTAACTGACCATAGGTGTGTGGGTTTATTTCTGGGCTCTTTATTCTGTTCCATTGATCCACATGTCTGTTTTTATACCAATATCACAGTGTTTTGATTATTGTGGCTTTATAGTATTGTCTGAAGTCTCGGAGGGTTATGCCCCCAACTTTGTTCTTTTTCCTCAGGATTGCTTTGGCAATTCTGGGTCTTTTATGGTTCCATATAAATTTTAGGATTATTTGTTCTAGCTCTGTAAAAAATGTCATGGGCATTTTGATAGGGATTGTATTAAACCTGTAGATTACTTCCAGTAGTATGGCTATTTTAACAATATTAATTCTTCCAATCCAAGAGCATAGGATAGTTTTCCATTTCTTTGAATCATCTTCAGTTTCCTTTATCAATGTTTTATAATTCTCAGCATATAAGTCTTTTACCTCCTTTGTCAGGTTTTATTCCTAAGTATTTTTTTTTTGTCTGCAATTTTAAAAGGGACTGTTTTTTTACTTTCCCTTCTTGATAATTCATTGTTAATGTAAAGAAATGCAACAGATTTATGTATGTTAATCTTGTATCCTGCTATGTTGCTGAATTCATTTATCAGTTTCTAGTAGTTTCTGTGTGCAGTCTTTAAGGGTTTTCTACATACAGTATCATGTCATCTGCATATAATGACAATTTTACCACTTCTCTTCCAATTTGGATACCTTTTATTTCTTTTTCTTGTCTGACTGCTGTGGCTAGGACTTCCAATACTATGGTGAATAGAAGTGGTGAGAATGGGCATCATTGTCTTGCTCCAGATTTTAGTGGGAAGGCTTTCAAGCTATTCACCGTTGAGTGTTATGCTGATTGTGGGTTTTTCATAAATAGTTTTTATTATGTTGAGATATGTTCCTTCAATACCCATTTTGGTAAGAGTTTTTATCATGAATGGATGTTGCATTTTATCAAATGCTTTTTCTGCATCTATTGAGATGATCATGTGGTTTTTGTCTCTTCTTTTGTTGATATTGCCAGCATCACATTGATTTGCCTATAGATATCTTTTTTAATATTCTCTTAACTTCTTTAAAAGACATAAAATTGTACCAAACAGTAATCATATCACTATATTAATGAGTTTAAAAAACATATAAAGATATTTATGTAACACAGGGGCTTCCCTGGTGGCACAGTGGTTGGGAGTCTGCCTGCCAATGCAGGGGACACGGGTTCGAGCCCTGGTGCAGGAAGATCTCACATGCCATGAAGCAGTTGGGCCTGTGTGCCACAACTGCTGAGCCAGCACTCTAGAGCCCACAAGCCACAACTACTGAAGCCTGTGCTCCTGGAGTCCATGCTCTGCAACAGTAGAAGTCACCGCAACGAGAAGCCCATGCACCTCAACGAAGAGTTGTCCCTGCTCACCGCAACTAGAGAAATCCCGCACACAGCAATGAAGACCCAATGCAGCCAAAAATAAATAAATAAATTTGTAAAAAAAAAAAAAAACTATATATATATATATATTTATGTAACACAAAAGAAGGCAGTCAAGGAGCAAAAGAATCCCCACCCAGGGGCTTCCCTGGTGGCACAGTGGTTGAGAATCTGCCTGCTAATGCAGGGTACACGGGTTCGAGCCCTGGTCCAGGAGGATCCCACATGCCACGGAGCAACTAGGCCCGTGAGCCACAACTACTAAGCCTGTGCATCTGGAGCCTGTGCTTCGCAACAACAGAGGCCACAATAGTGAAAGGCCCCCGCTTGCCACAACTAGAGAAAGCCCTCGCACAGAAACGAAGACCCAACACAGCAAAAGTAAATTAATAAACTCCTACCCCCCAACATCTTCAAAAAAAAAAAAAAAAAAAAGAATCCCCACCCAAATAACCTTATGTTATCTAAAGAATTCCTTTTCAATATTTAAACTTCAGCAAAGAAGAAATGATTAACAGTTTTGACTAGAGAATCAAACAGAAATTACTATGATATTATTAAAATGTATTATCCAGGTTTGATGAAATTTTAAAAGTCAGGACACATATATAAAATGACCAAAAAAAAACACCCCAAAATGAAATAAAACAGAATACAGTTGATCCTTGAACATGGGTTTGAACTGCACAGGTCAACTTATATGCACATTTTTTTTTCAGTAAATGCGTACTACAGTACTACATAATCCATGGTTGGTTGAATCCATGACGCATAACCACAGATATGGAGGGCTGACAGTAAAGCTATACTGGGATTTTCAAACACATGGGGGATCAGCATCCATAACCCTTATGTTGTTCAAGGATCAACTGTAATTATGTTTCTAAAATGTCAGGGTTTATAGCAATCATTCTTTATATTCATTTATAGTCATTCCAACATCTCAACCTCTGAAAGCAAGCAAGAGAGACACAGAGCTGAATGGGAACTTACTTTGTAAATTAATGTGGACCCTGATAAAGCCAGACTCTCCTTGCCTCAAAAGCAAATGGAGAATTCACTGTTCAGTATATTGCACGTGCTCAATAAATATTTTAACTTTGCAGAGATGATTTCTGCATAATTCAGACCAGAATGGAATTTGGCCAGGTGCCTCAAATCTCTCAATCTAAATTTTAGATCTAGAAGACCTTATGATTTGTACAGAAAAAGTAATTATAGCCTTGAACAAAAGAGTCTTATTACCTGAATTTCTTCAATTATTGATTTGAACTGGGGAATACGCTCTGTCATGTTTTTAACCAATTCCATTGCGTTATCAAATCCCTTCACATATTCTCCATACATCTTAAGGAATGGGGCCAATTTCTGAAGGATGTCACCAATTCTAGGGGTAGCTTCCCTGTATAAAATATAGAAACAAGTTGTTAAGATTTCTTATAGAATGAGTGAATTAACAGGACTCCAAATGAAGTAATCACTTTCTACACGTACCCTGCACTTTGTCAGATCCACTTTGCTGTGAGATTGAGAGAGAGCAAAAAAGCACCTTTTTACAGGGAGTTTAGGAATGACACAGTAAAAAGAGATGCTTTACTCTTGGAATTCTTGAAGCTCCAGAATATCTTGTCTCCACTAATCAAACTATAGTTTGGAAAGGAGAGATGAAAACTTCTTCAACTAAAGACAAAACTGTACCACAAGGTCTTTCAGTGATCTTTAATATAAAAACTTTGCGTAAATGTTTGTTTACAGCTCTGTGTAGCATTATTATTTCAGTTTAACAGCTGAATAACAGAGCTTCTAGTATGACTGCCTTAGGTATATTATTTGCTATCTATGCCTCTTACCATTCTTGCATTCTTTTCTCCAGCTCTGGCAATAGGAATTTACTATGGAAGGCATTTATTGATGAAATATTAGAAAAGATTTTATTCACCATCTCTGCTGGAAATGAGCCTCGATTTGCTTCTTCCAGTAGTTTGCAATAAAATACCTGAATAAGAGAATTAATGCAAACATTACTTCAAATTTATTGGTTAACCATCTAGCACTGTGCTAAGGCACATAGTGGGCTCTTAGTAACTTTTTGTTGAATAAATGGAAAAGTTCATGATTCAAGAAATCAATCATTTTTGAAATGTAGGAGTGAGTATATGCTTTAAGAAGAACCAGGAATTAGAATTAGGAAGCTTTGACTCTAACCTAGGCTATGCCTCTATCTGTGGGATGTTAATCTTTTCTGTTCCAAAGAATTTCCAGTTGAGGGTAACAGGATTTACCCTTCCTATCCATAGGTAGAGTTAAAAGATGGAAAACTATACAGATGCATAATAACTGGTATTTTCCACTCCTCTTTATATTTTGAATGACTTCTATGGCACATATTACATATTGCCCTTTATTATAATTTGTTGGCATGTATCTCATTTTCCCTATTAAAACTGTACACTCCTTGGGGAGGTAGAACATTGTGATTTACTTCTCACAGTAGAAAAGGTGCTTAAAAAATACGTGGTCAATGCATGAACAAAAGAGTATTTCAGTTCTCACATGTTTTCCTGCTTTAGTAAATAATAATGCATGGTAACTTAAAACTCAGAAATGAGGATAAAAAGATCTTCTCTTGTACATAATAACAGGTATCTTAAAGACAGTAAAAAAAAGTTTTGCAGTATTAGCTCTACTCCAGTAGGGCTACTATACCTCTTAATTGCCATTCTGTTAAATGTAGGCAGAAGGAGGTCTGTTCTTTCATAATGTCCAGATGGTTGTTTATTTTCTAAATTCACCTCCTTTGCATTTTCTTGAGGCAAAAAGAATACAAAATTATGTCCTTAGAGACTCCAATAGGATATTTTAGTAATTATGATTAAATTCTAAAAGGTCAGCAACAGTAGCTGACAAGATAATATGGCTGAAAAAAAAAAAAAGAAAGAAAAAACTAAAAGAGCAACTTGGTAAGAGGAAAAAACACATTTCCACTATAGGAATACCTAAAAGTTTCAGGTCTGTAATCACCATGAGGAGTAACATTGTTTCAAAGGCACAAACCAACATGAATTGATTGACTTATGGTGAAATTCTTTGGAAAGGGAGTATCTGAGTCACAAACACATTATCTCAGAGAACACAAGTCTTAATCCAGCCCCTTAAGGCTCACCCTAACAGGCATGTAGTCTACTCTAGGAACTGATAAAGAGGTGTGCCCAGTATGGCCTGATCCCACGAAGTTCCATTTTTCCAACTGCAATAGAGGGACATCTTCTTGCAACTAATTTACTCAAAGCTGGCAACTTTATCTTTTAATAAGAGGAGTCTGTATTAGCAGACAATCTACCAATTATCTTGATCTTTTATCACTGAAACAGAATTAAGAGGCCATTGTGTTTAACAGTTATGATGCATTTTAAAACTTTCTTTGCAAATGTATATTTGAGATGATTCACAAGCATCTACCATGATGAAAGTACAAAATGTTATTCACATATTCAACAAATATTTACACCTGGCACTGTTTTGAACGTTTTATGCAAGGCCGAACAAGTGAACTCTCAAAATTCCTTCTGGCCCTATGACTGCAGCAATTCAGATCATTTACAACAGCAAGTGAGACAAGAATCAGTGATGTATTCATGTCAGCATCAGAATCTCCTATTTACTAACACGGCCTTCAGGCTCACAATAAGTGGGCAAGAAACAGTAGTGTTTAGGATTGAAAGAGACAGATAAAGGCATTTTGCAACTCCTACAGAGTGTCCTTCAATCTGTTTTTTATGAATTATGAAAACTTTATACATAATGAATTCACTGACAGCTGAAAATGTCAGAGATCTCCTTGAGGAAGTAGCTTTCACTTGCCAAAAATGGCTAGGTCCTTCCTTCTTGCAGTTTCTAAAACACTTAAATTACTAAGTTAAAATGATGTATAATGCCAAAAAATAAAATACTGAAAGGGAAAAGATTACCTGATCTAAGAGGTCAAGTCGGCTGACGTAAGCTCTTTCTGTAAGCAAAAGTTCATTGGCTATTTTGTGAAGTTTTTGCTCATTAGTCTCCTGAAAACAGAACAGATATTCACATATCAGGAAATAAAGCTTGGACAGTATTTCTCAAGTAATAAATATTATCAAATGGTTTCATCAAGGACTTCCCTGGTGGCGCAGTGGTTAAGAATCCGACTGCCGGTGCAGGGGACACAGGTTCTAGCCCTGGTCCGGGAAGATCCCACATGCCGCAGAGCAACTAAGCCCATGTGCCACAACTACTGAGCCTGCTCTCTAGAGCCCGCGAGCCACAACTACTGAGCCCGCGTGTCACAACTACTGAAGCCCGTGCACCTAGAGCCTGTGCTCTGCAACAAGAGAAGCCACCACAATGAGAAGCCTAGGCACTGCAATGAAGAGTAGCCCTCACTCACAGCAACTAGAGAAAGTCCGCTTGTAGCAATGAAGACCCAATGCAGCCCAAATCAAGCAAATAAATAAATAAATAAATAATTTAAAAAATTGACTTAAAAAAATGGTTTCATCAAAAGTTTTCTATGGCTTCTCAGGTACCCAATTCCTTTCAGTCATCAAGGAACATCCAACCAGAAATGAACAAAATTAGAAATCAGCTAGATTTAATCTATGATAACTTTGATCTCTGTATCAATTAACATTATCTTCCACCTTTTCTTTGAAACTTCTTTTATCTTTTTTACTTCCCAGACACTATAGTTTCCTCATTTTCCCCCTACCTCTCTCAGGCTTCTCTTTGGACATGTTTTTATCACTCTCTCAAAGATCTTTTTAATTATTAGCTCTATGCACAGAACTTTTTACCTTAAAAAAACTTTTTATTATGGAAAATTTCAATCATATATAAAAGTAAAGAAAATAGTAAAACAAACCCCCATGTGTCCATCACCAAGATCCAACATCAACTCATTGTTAATCTTTCACCTATGCTCGCACCCACCTCCCTCTATCTATATTACTTTTAATTAAATCTAGACTTTAATATTTCTTCAGTTTATATTTACTTAACTCTTAAATATCTTTGTATAACCTTGCTAGTGCCATGAGGATAGAAACATTTTTTCCTTGTTAACTGCTCCATCTCTTGTATCTACTGCAGTGCTTCAATAAAACACTGGCACTCAATAAAATATCACTGAATGAATGAATGAGAAGCAGTCTCACATGACTAACTATTGCTGGACATTTATTACAACTTTGACATGTTGTCAATCTACGACCAAACTCATCATTTCTGTAAAATCTCCATTCTACCACCACCCTCCAACCTTACCATCCTAGCAATGGTTCCATCCCTTTCCAGTTAGCTGACTTAAATTACTTTAAGATTAGTTCTCTACCACAAAATCCAGTAAGCCACCAACTCCTTTTCATGGCATTTTGTCTTTAGCATCCATCTTTTAAGCTCTCATCACTTCCACCCTGTTTTGCTCATACCTTATCTCAAGCCCAGGCCAATCAACAGTTGCCCAATTAACTGATTCCATTATTTTTTTTTGGCTCTAACCCACCTTGAATACTATCGTATGAGGAATTTTTCTAAAACTCTGCTCTGGGGACTTCCCTGGTGGCACAGCAGTGGTTAAGAATCCGCCTGCCAATGCAGGGGACACAAGGTCGATCCCTGGTCCAGGAAGATCCCACGTGCTGCGGAGCAACTAAGCCTGTGCACCATAACTACTGAGCCTGCACTCTAGAGCCCCCAAGCCACAACTACCGAAGCAAGCATGCCTAGAGCCTGTGCTCCGTAAGGAAGAGTAGCCCCTGCTCGCCGCAACTAGAGAAAGCCTGCACACAGCAACGAAGACCCAACACAGCCAAAAAATAAATAAATAAAATTAAAAAACAAAACAAAAACTCTGCTCTGCTCACCTAATGCTAATTCCCATAGGAAAAACCAAAATTCTTCAATAGTCCTCTTCTCACTGACAGGATAAAATCCAGACTCTGCGTACCATCCAGAGTTGTTTCTACCTAGTTACTTTACTGAAATACTTTTCTCATTCTAGGAGACTATGAAATATAATAAGAGTTTAGTAAAAACTTTAGTACCAAAGCAGACCAAAGTGTACTTTAAACCAGTGTCTGATTTGTGTAAATGCTACATTTTAAACTATGTATAAAATGCTATTAAGTTGTATAAATGCTTCACTGTGTTAAACACATATGACATCTATTTTATGCTTTATATGCAATATATGTTCTAACGTGGTAAGTTACCACGTTGCTTCTTACAGAACTGAGGTATTTTTATGTGAAGTCTTTAGGGTAAAGTAACATAATACGTTTAAATAATTTGTGGTCTCAGAAACACTGAAATAAGAACTATGTAGTAATCGGGACTTCCCTGGTGGTCCAGTGATTAAGACTCCTCGATCTCATTGCAGAGGGCCCAGGTTTCATCCCTCGTTAGGGAACTAGATCCCGCATGCCACAATTAAGAGCCTACATGCTGCAACTAAAAGATCCTGCATGCAGCAACGAAGATCCCATGTGCCACAACTAAGACCCCGTGCAGCCAAATAAATATTTTAAAAGAAACAACTATGTAGTAGTCAAATTCCATAATTAGTCAAAGTTTTGGTTTAACTTAAACTCAGAGTAAAGTACTAGCATTGTTGCTTGCCTAACCTGGCATCCCTTCCCCGCTATCTCTTAATGGTATCCAGATTTGGTTAGTGTGTCTACCCAACTACTGTGTAGCCCTTCCTTCGGGGAAACTGACCTTATCCACAGATCAAAAGGGGAGCCCTGAATGGTGTCACAATCAGCAGTATACAGCGATAGGTTCAGGGGCCAATGAGACACGAGGGAATATGCACTGGCAGCTTTGAAAAAGGAGGCTCCCTACTCTTAAGGAAGAACCATGAAAAAAGAGATCTCTCTTTGCTGCTCCATGTAAATGAGGGTACATGTAGTCTTGAGTGCTATAAGCAGCCATTCCATAACCACAGAGATGAAGCCAATAAACTTCCTTATTGTTTAAGCCAGGTCGAGTAATATTGGTGTTATTTCTATCATCCTAATTAATATAAAAAACTTAAATACTAAGAAACATATGTAGTATATTCCATGAAACTGATAAACTTTCAAGAAATTTTTAGACAATCACTATTTATAGAGAAGAAAGTAAAATACTTAATGAACTAAAAATGTGACTTTAAAAGATGTAATTAAGTGTAATAAGTAAATACATAAGAATTACATCAACATTGCAGAAAAAGTGATATGCTATTCTACACACTCACAGGAAATACTGACCTGCACCAACACTACAGCCATTTGTTTTGGTTTTTTAAGCCAGATTCACTGAGATGAAATTTACAATTAGTAAAAGTCACCCTTTTGGTGAATAGTTCTAGGAGTTTTGATGAATGGTTACAATCATGTCACCACCACCACAATCAAGATACAGAACACTTCTATCGAAACTTTTCTTAGGTCTCTGCAGTCAACCCCACCCCTCTTCCACCACCAGCTCCTAGTAATTGTTGATCTGGCTTGTTCCAGAGTGTCATGTAAATGGAATCACACAGCATGTGCCTTTTGAGTCTTGCTTTATCAAAATGCATTTGAGATAGATCCAAGTTGTTATTAGTAGTTCATTCTTTTCAAGCCCTTCATTTTATTCTAATAGTGGAGATATCTTTTTGACCCACTATACTCTTTTGTATATTCTAATTCTAGTTCTAGCTAATATCTTTAAAGAAAACAATCCAGCAGAATTTGTGCCATGATAAAATAATACATCTTTTGTAAGTCAGAGAATTCACTAAACAACAAGTCATAATGTCTATTATTGCTATGCAATGAAGTCACCCCTGAGGGCTTCCATATCCTACGAGATCTTAAATAGGAAGGTTCTAAGAAACAATCTTTTTGCTGACCGCAAATTATACTTTAGCTGAACGTGGCAAATTGTGGGTATCCTGGTCATATTTTGCAAAATCCAAGGGTATGCCAGCAGTTATTAGTAAAAGCTATATTTCTTCCACACAGATGGTCTTCTAACATTAGGTCCCTGACCTTGCCAAAGTCAACACAAAGTAAACTTGCTGACATATGGTTTAATCACTCACATATAAGGTTTGTGAAAAGTTACTAGGGATTCTGTGGTGGAAGTGAGGACATCACAGACTCATGGAGCCTTTCTTTAGGTTAATCACAACAATAATAGCATCACCATAAATAAGAACAGCTAACAATTACTCACTCATTGCTTGTTATATGCCAGACTGTTAAAAGTATTTTACACAGATTGACTGGTCCTTACAACAAGTCTATAAAATGGGTGCCATTATTATTCCTATTTTATAGGTAGTATACACACACAACAAAACAAAATTCCAGAGCTTAAAAAAAAACATCCATGTCTCAAAGAGACCAGGAAACTTGCCCAAGGTCACACAGAACCCAAATGAATCAGATTTTATTCACATAAGAGAGTATGTGATTTTTGAGTAACTCTTCAGTAAATAGTTGGCTCTCACTCTAACCCTTCTTTGCAACAAAAAACAAGATTGTATTAAGTGCCTACAAGTGAATAGACTAACAAAATACCAACTATCCACTTAAAAATGGAATTTGCATTTTAATTTATATACTGATTATTTTTCCAACATAAATTTTATTTAAAGCAGACTTTTTAGCATTTAGTAATAATTATCAGGTATAAAAAATTCAGTCATATTTGATGTAACAATATGATGGCTTCCAAATTTTAAAAAATTAGTTTAGTTTCTGAAACTTACCTATAATGTACAGGGTCAATTACTCTATCAGACTTATGCTTAAATAATGCACAAAGTAGTTTTAAAGCTGCTGGTACATTGGGGCTGTAGCCTGATATTTTTTTAAATAGCACTTTACTAAGAAGTCATTTATTTTTGTGATTCTTTGGAAAACAATAATGGTTACACAATACTGATTTGATGAGTAATCCCACTGGATTCTTTTGCAGCTGAATACACAGGCTTGACTTTTCAAAATAATTATAAATATGCTATTTAAAAAGTATCTTACTTTTGATATTCCTC